GGTTGCCGTGTTATAGGAATGGAGTTGTCAATGTTTTCTTCTGCACCCTCGCTTTCTTAGGAACATTACGACGCTGTTCGCGTCTGCATCTGAACCCGCAGCCGTCCAACAACCTGGCGATCACGGCTAACTCCGGAACACAGCCCACCCCCCCCCCATCCCCCACCAAAACCGGGGTATGGACTGTAACCGACGTCACTTCTCGCCAGAAAACGTCATTTGGGAAACCACTGATGTCCACCCCAGTTCCTGTCCTGTTTGCGTTGCACATTGTTTCCAGCTGCATTTGTTCGAGGCTTTTTTCCGTAAAATGTTCTCTGCAGTTTGACGAGTCGCGTAGGCAATGGAAATGACGCAGGGTCGTTCGTCACCTTTCCATTATGAAAAGTTAAAAAAGCTATAATTTTCGCGTTTGTCTACGTAAGCCAAACAACCATACTTATTAAAACAATAGGCAACATTTCATTTCCTCCCTCACAATGCAAAAAGGTTTGGGTGCTCTGTGGTCCCTTCCCATAAGATCGAGGGCTTTAATCAGCAGAGCTATGCAACGACATAATCACTCATTTTTATAGTCGATAACTATCCGTTTGGATTTCAGCCATTAATCCTGATGGAGCAATGTATTAGATTGAGCACAACTTTCTGCAATATTTCATATAATATTTCAAATTTCATCTATTTCTCCTTCAGAAGGAACCCTCTGTCAACCACGTTATCACCAACAATATCTTGAAAAAGTGCTCGCCGGTATGCAAGGCTCTCGGTTCTACCCTCCAGGAATAATCGTGGCCGATCTCGTTTCTGAGTGACGTAGTCTACCACGTTTTCCAATGCTCCTCTAAGACTGCGTTCATACTGGGCATGAGCGATTCAGTAGCGCGATTGCACCCGACCGCGTTACATCGCTCTTCGGAACACTGCAACGGTCGAAAAAAGTTCTTCGTGTGAGTATGACTGGATTCGCTGTTTCAGTGGTCCAACGATTAGCGGTGGAGCGCGACCCATCATATGCTCATGCAACTGAATCGCTCAAGACGCGAATCATGAGCGCAGCTTGAGGGATGTCTTGACCCAAGTGAGTGGCAGCCAAGGCTGCCAATTCTGGTGAGTAAGCTGGGCGTAGTCGTATTCTTTGACGAGGAGGTATAATTCTATAGGTGTTGCTTGCGGTAGGGGGAGGATGGGGGGGGGTGTTGTCATGGTGTAAAAAGATAATAGGCCATCTCCACAAGCGAAGATTACGCGTGACTCATCCATCTTTTAAAGCTCGTTAGGGTAGCCCTTGATGCTGTACCAGTCTCCAGTAGCATCCCTTCAGACTCTTCGTAGCAGTCGAAACAATTTCCCATGTAGATCTGATTTTCGACTGATTTTTTGCAGGTGCTTTGCACGTGATTTTTTGCAGGTGATTTGCAGGTGATTTTTCTTTTTCAGTTATACTGGTGAGCTAGGTTTCGAGTGAGGAGTGCTGCTCTTATGACTACACATTAGGTTTGTTGAGAAGCTGACCACACATTAGGTTTGCTGAGAAGCCTATCTTCAAGAATCGATCGGTCGCCCTATCGGAGTGGCACAACTCATCACGAAGAATTCCACAGAACGCGCAGAAGCTCGATAACCGTGATAACCGTCATGACAGCCTAGCATTGTGGGCAGGGCACGCCATCGCGTTGTGATCATTTCCTGCGTAATACGACCCCCCTAATTCTATCCTCAAATACGACCCCCTCCCCATGCTACCTACCACTTTCCTAGATTTTCCCAACTTCCTACCACTTTTTCCATTTTTTCCCGAAAAATTTCCAGTTTTTCAGCCAAGAATTTTCCGTCGAGCGGGGGGGGAGGGGTATATACCCAATATGGAAAAGGAAAATTTCTCAGATATTCCTTAACCTCTTGAAATTTTCCTAAATTTCCGTCTGGTTTTCCCCCAAAATTTGTCGAGCGGGGGGGGGGGAGGTCATCAAGATTTGGCTACCATTTTCAACTGTCGGAAATACCAGTTGTATAGAATTGTGGCAGTCCCTCTCTCAACAACGGCCAAATATTCTTCCCAGACCAACTACATACAACCCCTCCCTCTGCGTCAAATACGACCCCCCCCTGTTGTGATCATCACACGGTGGCGTGCCTGATTGTGGGAGCTCGTTACGTCCAGTTGCTTTCCAAGGACCTCAGTGAACGGTGGTCACACCTCAAGAGCGAACAATTTACTTTTGCTAGCGAGTCCAAAGAGATGCTGTGGCATGTGAACGCCAGGGCCTTTGGTTTATTTTCTAGAAGAACTTGTTCATAGTTGCGTAGAAATTGTGGTTAATGCAGTGCTGTAAACTAAAGCAAGTCTGTGGATTTGGAATGGCACTACGGCTTTCAAAATACGACGCAGAAATAACAAAGAAAACTAAGAAAACTTCCAAAAAATGTGGCTCTCAGTCCTTTTTTTTCTCCACCACTTCAGGCTAACGCGCTCAACCCAGCGCTTAGACTAAGACAGGTCTCAGAATTCGAAATGGGACTGGGGCTCCCAAAATAGTACTCTTAGGTGACTGAAAGCAGGAAACATTTAAAAAGGATGACTTCCCGTCGTTTTTAGTACCACTTCTAGCCAGCTTTTTCCCTGCAACCCATAGGTCTCTTGAAAGGTGTGCGGGAAAGAAAAAAATCCCAGCCCATCTCTGAGTTTTTTACCCTCCTGAGTGACTGAAGCTCCTGAAAACCATTCTTTTTAAAATTCTCGGAAATGAGCAGAAGGAAAAAATGCGCCTCAAGATACAAACTACTTCAAAACACTACTCCAGAAGTAGCTGGGTGGAAGCTGAAGAAACGTCAAAAAACTGCAGCTGTTCGAAACCACTTCATGTCGGCTTTTTCCCTGTAACCCATAAGTCCCTTGAGAGGTAAGCGAAAAAGAACAAGAAAAAAGCACTGTCCATTTCAGAGTTTTTGCCACGGAAAAGGTTTCAGTTACGACTTCTGCTGATAGTCACGAAAATTTTCTTTGAGGAACAAAAATCTTCAGTTCTGTTCCGCTACGTAGATAAGAAAGTTACTTTTCGACAAGTTCTCAGCACTGCCCGTCTTGTGTCTCCTTACTTCTGATTTTTGCGGTTGCAGTAACTAAGCTATCCTTCAAGTCGACTGTTTCAGGAGATCGAAGGAAAAGGAAAGAAAGAACGAAAGTTTCAACAGATCAAAAGGCCAGGCGGGGCAGTTCGGCGAAGGGGGAGGCATTTTGCACTTTTGCTACTTCCCATTGATGTGTCGTCCCATCTAGACAGCCTCTTCTCGAGCTGACAGGTTTTACCATGATGGCTTGACGAGCTTGCTCCAGCTTCACAAGAGTTCACAGGTTTCACCAGAGTGAGACTTGTAAACCGGAACTAGTGAAGCAGTGAAAGTGCCCCCGCCGCGAACTGCGCTGGCCAGACTTCCAGCGTTTCTTCAGTGCTGTCTAGTTACTTTCCCTTCAAGAAAAAGCGAGTGCGAATAGTACGAACGTACCAAATCCTTGTAAATTTGAGTTAACGAATTTAAAGGCCTTGATCACGAATGTGGCATCCTTTCTCACCGGGCCATGGAAACAAGCACTTGACTGCCCCAAATGTCAGTTTACAACGAAATTGGTCAGATAAATTGGAGCTGGTCTCGGAAATGAATGCCATATATCTGGCCCATCAACTGCTCATGGTTTATACTGCATCAACTTAACTGTGAGGGCTAATCTCGCCCTCAAAATAAATGTCATTCACGTCGTTGTCAAGGTACCACCGGACGGCATGGTTTAAAGAATTTCTCAAAGTTTTGGGGCTGCTATGGTGAAATATGCTAGACTCAGAGAAGAGTGAGCTCAATCAAAATTTCGTATGAAAATGGACCTTCAGAAGCTTCTTCGGAATGACGTCCGTGCGCATAATACAGTTCGACGACGGGGGCATTCTGCACTTTCGTTGCTTCCCTAGTTCCGATCTACAAGTCTCATTCTGGTAAAGACCTGTGAACTCATGCTAAGGTGACTCGTCGACCCACCACGGTAAAACCTGTCAACTCAACAGAAGCCTCTCTAAATGGGTCAGCACTTCGACGGGAAGTAGCAAAGGTGCAAAATGCCCCCTCCTTGTCTCCGAACTGCCCCATATTTTTTCTTTTGCGTAGCACCGAGGTTGACCAAGGTACCTATCGTGATTTTTGCTGCCTGCCTGGGAGTTTCTGAGGGTACACTCAAAACTTTCTCCAACCTTCCTGTTATGTTGTGTTGTTGTTCTTCATGTTTTGTTTGGCTTTTCAATCAAAAACACTGTTTCATCTCCGATACTCTACGACGAAACCTCCGTTTTGTCTTCACGCAACTCAAACAACGGGGGGGGATAAGGCTTTATCGTTACATATGTCGTGTCGCTGGTCCGAACTGACCAATAAACCAAATATACATCAACAAAATCGAGACAACAGATGTCCGCTGCCGTAATATACTTGCGCAAATAGCGAAAAACAACGAATTTCCTTAAGAACGAAACAATGAACCAGACTCGGCTGGCAGAAACTTAACAGGCACAACGTCAACGTGCCAAATACGCCCGTGACGTACTTGCGCAATAGCAAAAACAACAAATTGTTTTAAAAACGTAACAATGAACCAGATCCAGCTGGCAAAAAAACTTAACAGGCACAACGTAAAGGTGTCGTATACGCCCGTGACAACGAAAACAAGTAATACTATGTACAACATGGCTGAGTACCAGCGAAAAATCAACTTTACAACTATGCACATATGGCCGAGCTAACCGAGAGCATCTAAGTACATTTAGCACCACCGAAACAAAAAACACCTGCATGAGCCAGTACAACGAGATCGATGATAACGAGGAATCGAATGCGCGAACCCGCGCTGTGCCAACCGACAAAATAACACCGCACAAAACAAAATCAACTCTTCTACTTGCAACTGGAAAAAAACGACCGGCTAAACTGCCGAGAACGAAAATATGTACATATTGCCCTCAGGCGATAGAAGAAACAGTGGAACCAAAAAAATTTGAATCGTGTGCAGCGAAAATCCAGTGCTTCCAAGCCATTCCCAGCACCATGCTAAGAAAGCAGCCAAGCAGCGTGTAGACAAGAATCGAAATTGTCCGTCCCATCCGGGAGCCGAAAACCAGATTGCCGATGTTGCCGTCTTTCCTGTCCGTACGCGTGTCTCTCGCCTCGACCATGATGCCGGACAGCTCTGAAAAATATATAAATAGAGCCAAAAGGGGGTCCCTAAAGGGGGGAGGGCTCTACATAGCAGCTAAAGGCTTCAAAGGACTTCCAGCGGCCTGCCAGCATGACCCTACCCGCGTCCACACCCTGTCTAATGGCGTGGGTTGCTGCACCGCCTCTAAAAGAATGAGATGTAAGCATCTTATGTTGAAGCCCCGCTGCTGCGACTACCTTTTTTATCCTTTTGGCTACGCAATCCCTGGAGGAGGGCTCTCCTGACGTCCCGCTGAAGAGGAATTTGTGAGGTTCCAGCGGCCTCCTGAGCCCGCAAAAGGCCTGCCACAGAGTGGTTTCCTGCAAACCCCATTTAACCGCCACCGTGGCTCCCTGCCCACCTTGATCTGTCTTAGATCTCTTTACCTGGATCCACCAAAGGCCGTCTCCGTGATACGAGAAGTCCCCGAACTGGAGCGCTCTAACCTCGCTAACTCGCAGTAACGCTGAAAAAGCCAGTAAAATACTGGCGGCCGCGGTGATGACCCAGGGGGTTCTAACTCCTAAGAGCATATGCGAGGATGAGGTCGACATCCTCCTTGGACGCTTTGCTACGATGCTTCACCGGGATCCTGGTCTTATTGGCTCCCCTCAGGAGCGCCTTCTGGATGTCCGCATCGTCCTGAGGGAGCGGTCCAAAAAAGTGTGCCAACGCGGCTACGTGATAACCCAGCGTCCTATCCTCCCTTTGTGGATAAGATGCGCCAGAAAAATATTCCGCAGCTTGGGGAAGTTCCTGTGCCGGGATGCCCACCGTTTGGCTGAACGCCAGGAACCGGGCTTTGACTCTACTATATATATTGAGCGTTCCCGGCGCTACTGAGTTCTCGATACATCTCTGAATCATCTCAGCCACCTCCGTCAGACCGCTCTCTGCTGCGAGACATGCCGTCTCCGATGCCGCTCCAAAGCGAGACGCCAAGGGTGGACCTAAACGAACGGTGGGCAGATATAAGCGATAAAAATTCCTTTTGCGGGTGGGAGGGTGGGGGTCTCCGCCGGTAACGAAAGCCGGAATGGGGAGGCTTTCCTCCCCTCTTACGAAAGCAGCGTGGCCGCGACGCGGCCGCGTCGCTTCTCTTGGCAGTCTGCCAAGAGACGCTGCTCAACTGTCCCGATCCGCTCGGGACCGCCTTAGTGGCGGCGAGTTGCGCGAATCCAAAACTCCATTTTCATCTCCGATACTCTACGACGAAACCTCCGTTTTGTATTCACGCAACTCGTACAACGGAAAGTTTAAAGCCCGGAGGGGGCCAGAAAGACAGCAATGCGAAAGCAAAGTCAAACTTCAACTTTGGGGAAGTGAAGGTGAAAGAGGGGGACGGGCCTTGTAACACTGGAGTGCCCGCTGGAAAAATAATGATCTGTCTAATCTGCTGAATCCACGAATCTCCTTGTCTGAGTAAGGGGAAGAACATGTTAGAAGGCCACATAGGAAATCCCAAGATGCCTTTGCTACGATGCAACCTGGCCCAACTTAATGTTTTTGGTATAAGATAAGGAGGTGGTACCCACCAGCAGAAATCTGACTTCCAAAATCGAGACGACTCTGCGGAAAAGGCGTCGATGCCTACTAGCTGCCTCGCAGGCGAATCTAGAAACAAATGTATTGCATTTTGCCGACTTGGCTGTGGCGAATAAATCTACCTGGAACTCTCCCCAAGAACTCCTGAGCTCTGCCACCACGTGGTCTGCAATGGACCAAGTCGTCCAAGTCGATAAATCTAGAGGCTAAATCTGCCTCGGTGTTAAGGGATCTAGGAATCCACACAAAATCTATGGTTGCATGCAGGGCCTCGCAGAGATCCCAGATTTGAAGGGCTAGACTCTGCAAATCCTTTTTGAGACTCCCCTTGCTGAGAATGCGTACTGCGCACTGACTATCCGAGTACCAAACGCAGTGTTGAAAACTCAAGAACCTACCCAAGGCTCTTGCGCTAGCTAAGATAGCGAACATTTCCCTTGCCGTAGAAGATTGCCCTCGCAAAGACGAGGGAAGAGGCGCTGCTGTTCTAATTTTAGAAAGCCCCTCCGCGTACAAAATCGCGCCTGACCCCGACTCTGAGGCGTCTGAAAACACCGTAACGGTAGGCTCAGGAGTATCCAAGGGTATTCTGTATAGCAATGCCTGAAAAGGAAGAATCAGATTTCTTCCAGCTAGCTAACTCACTTTTCTCCTCTACCGAAAGTTTCCATCGGAAAGACAAGGTCGTACTTGTGGATTGTTTTTCTGCCACTTCGGCGATCATGTGATGCCATCTCTTCTTCAATCTGAAGGAATTATCAGATGCAATGATGCAATATAGCCTAACCACTTCAATCTGTCTAACAAAGACGGGCCTCTACTGCCCCAAATCTGATCAAAGAACGCTCTGATCCTTTCTTTCCTTTCAGACGTCACGTCTAACTTGAACGTTCTCAAGTCAATCACATGTCCCAACCACGAAATTCTCTGGACCGGGGTCCAACAACATTTAGCGTCCGCCGTGGTGACACCTGCTAATCTCAGATCTTCTCTGACAATCCTCACGGATTCTTCGCATAGCTGTGCGGAACTTGCCCAAATGAGGCCATCGTCAAAATACAAGGCAACTCCAATACCTGCTTTCTCTCCACTTTCTTCAGGAGGGGTCTGAATACTTTAGTGAAGATAAATGGTGCCGGGGCCAACCCGAACGGCAGAACCAAGAATTTGTAAAACTTTTCCCGCCACTTGAACCCAAGATACTTGGTAAAAGTGGGATGCATATTCACATGGTGGTAACCCGACTTGAAGTCGAAGGAGGCCATGTAGCCCCCTTTAGGCAAAAGGGGTAACACTTTAGCAACATCCTCATACTTAACCTTGGATCTGAGCACTCTTTTGTTCAAGACTGACAAATCAAGAATGAGCCTTAATTTCTTACTTTCCGCGACCGAAAGCGGATTTATTCTTAGCGCGATTGGGTCCTGGACTTGCTGAATGGCTTGGCTTCTCTGCAGCTCACTGATTTCCCGATCTACAAAATCAGCATATTGATACGCGGAAGATGAGTTATCTCTAAAAAAGTCCAATTCTGGCTGCTCCAGGGTTTGGGAGAAACCCATGGAGTAGGACTGACTTAACCAGATCCGAAAGGTCTAGTTTCAACCAGAATTGGATATTGCGATGAAGGCCAGCCGCCAAAAACTCACTTTTCCTGCTCGGCATTGCACTGTGCTCGCAGGTGTCCGAACTTGCCGCAACTCGAAGCACATGGGCCTTGGTGAACGGAAATTCTGGGGAGGGTGGAAAGGAGCCGACGCATATCTTGCAGCCTTGAAAGATGTCCTTCCACCGAAAGGCAAGGGGGTCTGAGGAGCGAGGGCCCAGGTCGCTCCTCCCTGCCGAAAGGGCTGGAAGCCCCCCTGCCTATATGGGATGATGACGGCTCCATGTGGTCTTCTTGGGAGCCTCCTTGGGTTCCTTCTTGGCCTTTTCCTTCAGGAATGTCGCCAGAACCGGGTTAGTAACGGCCAATCTGCTGCGCTTCCACCTGACGATCGTAGAACTGCCATACTGACGGGTCCTTGTCTGCCACTACTAACAACTCGTTCCTCTGCGTGAGGGCCGTGATTGCCTTTCCGAGGTTGTCCTTGTCAGCTTCTGATGAAGCTCCTAACAGAACGGGGGTAATCAGCTTAATGACTCCAGAGTTGAAATCGAATTGCTTTTGCAAATTCGCCTTGGAGAACACCGGCGTGGCCGAGGACGAAGCAGCCGGGGAGAAAGCTGGGGGAAGCGCCACTGTCGACGAAGGGGCTGGTATCGGTGGTGGTACGGATGCTGTAGCGGCTTGCCTAAGCCTGTCTAGGAGCGCATCGTAATCTGCTATCGACAGAACTACGCCTGTCGTCGGCGTCGCCTCCGCGGCTGCTGGAATCTGACGGGATGGCCCTTGTTCC